GCACTGTGAATGTTTACATGTTATGTGCAATTAAACCATGGCAACATCTAATGTTTGTGTAGTATTATGTTCAGCAGACTGTGTTCTTCTATTGTTCTGACTTAGATGACGTTCAGAGCACATTTTATGCCCAATTCATGCAAAACTCCACGTAATCCCAAGGGGTTCACATACTTTTTCTTGCAACTGTAAACTCCTAGGATATTGATCTGGTCAGTTAAGTAGCAGAGGGGGTTGTTAATCAGTTTTCCATCTGACGCCGCTAGGTTGCAATCTCAGACTTTCCAGTAGCTCACCCCAGGAAATACCCCAGGACAGTATCCGTCTTCTCATTAGGAGCAAGCTCGACATTGTCAGGCATGCATACAAGCACGTGGGGGGCCATACAAACTACTGAGTACCATTTTGAGTTGCTGCACCTAAATTTCAGCAAAATGGACTAACCTGCTGCATAAATTTTTTCACTTTGATTTTTCGGAGTATCTCTGAATTTAGTCCTTTGTAGGTTGATCATTTTTATTTCCATCAAATGATGGGGCATCCTTACGTTTCTAACACATTACCCCAGTCCATACCAGTATATACAGTGGGGATCGAAAGTTTGGGCACCCCAGCTAAACATTTGTATTAATGTGCATAAAGAAGCCAAGGAAAGATGGAAAAATCTCCAAAAGGCATCAAATTACAGATTAGACATTCTTATAATATGTCAACAAAAGTTAGATTTTATTTCCATCATTTACACTTTCAAAATAACAGAAAACAAAAAAATGGTGTCTGCAAAAGTTTGGGCACCCTGCAGAGTTAATATCTTGTACTGCCCCCTTTGGCAAGTATCACAGCTTGTAAACGCTTTTTGTAGCCAGCCAAGAGTCTTTCAATTCTTGTTTGAGGTATCTTTGCCCATTCTTCCTTACAAAAGTCTTCCAGTTCTTTGAGATTTCTGGGCTGTCTGTCATGCACGGCTCTTTTAAGGTCTATCCATAGATTTTCAATTATGTTGAGGTCAGGAGATTGTGAAGGCCATGGCAAAACCTTCAGTTTACGCCTCTTGATGTATTCCCTGTGGATTTCGAGGTGTGTTTAGGATCATTATCCATTTGTTGAAGCCATCCTCTCTTTAACTTCAGCTTTTTCACAGATGGCATCAAGTTACCATCCAAAATTTTCTGAAATTTTATTGAATCCATTTTTCCTTCTACTCATGAAATGTTCCCTGTGCCACTGGCTGCAACACAACCCCAAAGCATGATTGCTCCAACCCCATGCTTAACAGTTGGACAGAGGTTCTTTTCATTAAATTCTGTGCCCCTTCTTCTCCAAACGTACCTTTGCTCATTCCGGCCAAAATGTTCAATTTTAACCTCATCGGTCCACAGAACTTGTTTCCAAAATGCATCAGGCTTGTCTATATGTTCATTTGCAAAGTTCAAACGATGATTTTTGTGGTGAGGATGTAGAAGAGGTTTTCTTCTGATGACTCTTCCATGAAGACCATATTTGTACAAGTATCTCTTTATAGTGAAATAGTGTACCACAACTCCAGTGTCTGCCAGATCTTTCTGGAGGGATCGTGCAGTCAAACGTGGGTTTTGAATTGTTTTTTCTCACAATCCTGCGAGCTGTTCTGTCTGATATTTTTCTTGGTCTTCCAGATCTTGCTTTAACTTCCACTGTTCCTGATGACTGCCATTTCTTAATCACATTCTGAACAGAGGATATTGACATCTGAAAACGCTTTGCTATCTTCTTATAGCCTTCTCCAGCTTTGTGAGTGTCAACTATTTTCAGTTTCAGTTTTCTAGACAACTGCTTAGAAGAACCCATGGTGCTGATTGTTGGGGCAAGGTCAGATGAGTCTGGGCATTTAAAACCTTTGAGATTGACATCACCTGGTCTTCCCAGACGATGATTGAGAACAATCCATGACACTGGCAGGTCTCAGCTTTGCAAAGGGGGCAGTGCATGCTATAAATTCTGCAGGGTGCCCAAACGTTTGAAGACGCCATTTTTTTGTTTTCTGTTATTTTGAAAGTGTAAATGATGGAAATAAAATCTAACTTTTGTTGACATATTATAAGAATGTCTAATCTGTAATTTGATGCCTTTTGGAGATTTTTCCATCTTTCCTTGGCTTCTTTATGCACATTAATACAAATTTTTAGCTGGGGTGCCCAAACTTTTGATCCCCACTGTACATATCCAGCGTGATATTTTTCCCCATGGAGATCTGATGTGTTTTCAAAGTGTTCCTTTAATTTTTTTGAGCAGTATATATATATATATATATATATATATATATATATATATACATACACACACACACACACTAGTATATACCTGAGGCGTTCAAATCAAACTGGGATTTTTAATTTTACAGGTATAAAAAGGGATGCTAGCATGGCAGTACTACACGTAGTAGTAAGTGGCAAGTGTGTCCTATTACTGATAGGTGACGCACATTTCGCGGGCCAGTCCAGTGACCGTTAATCAAGATGGCAGACAATAGTGTTAGTGCGTGCATGAAACAGTGTGTGATGATGAAGTTTCTTGTGAAGGAAGGCGTAAAACCCGCAGATATCTACAGAACACTTCAAACACAGTACGGTGATGAGCCGCTCAGCTCAGCCGCAGTAAGCATTTAAATGGTGTAAACGTTTCAAAGATGGCCGTGCGTGCATCAGTGTTGATCCTGGATGTGGTGGTTCCCAGCCCACAGCAGTCATTCCTGTGAACGCCTGATCTGGGATAACTGATCCATAACCTGCCGTATAATTGCACAAGAGACAAATCTTTCTGTGGGAATGGTAAACACAGTCATGATGAAGTGAAGCAGGCTGTCCTAGGTTTACTGACAAATCTTTCTACAGTATACTGAAGCATTCCAGGCATTAGTTAAAAAATATGTTCACCTTTCATAACATGTTATGTGTTACACCCATATTCACATGTAACATGTTACGATTGGACTAGCCCCCGATCCCCGTTGTGACAGCTAGCGGGGATCTTCTCTCCCCAGAAATAGCGGGGGGCATTTACATTTGGCATAAAAAATGCCTATAAAATGTCCGTATACATAAACTCTAAAAGTTGTAGCTGAATAAACAAATACATAGATAATTTTACTAATGAACAATGGCTTCTTGGCTGTATTTCTGTCCTTATTATGTTAACTCTAGTACAAAGTTGGATTTTTAACAAAGCTGCTGCAGGTTTATTGTAAAAACCACACCCATATGGCCATGCCCACTTTTTTGCTGGCCACACCAGCTTTTTGAAGTGGCATGCTACATACTTGCATTCCATTACTTTAAGGATCCTCTCTCTTTGTCAAGTTCAAAAGCTGGGGGGTATGGTGCTGGTTTTGACCAGTAAATTGTGGGGTAATTATGAGTTAAATAGTAATTGTGATAATTAATCTATCTTAAAGCAAAACCAAGGGAGGATACGCATCTTCCCAACACTTGCCAGCGCCGGCATCTTCTCTTTTGTGCCTGATGTTGGCTATTTTCATTGACTGGTGCAGGATGCCATCACCCCTGTGCATGCGCAGGAGTTAGTAATCCTGGAACACAGGATGTAAGATGAGCTGTAAGATGAGCTGCGCATACGCAACTCAGTTTACAGCCTGAGGATCGCTGTGAGCAGGCAGAAAGGTATGCTTTATTGCCGAAGAGACATTGCATGTCTCTTCTGCAATTCAATGCCTGCCTGCTCACAGTTTATCCTAGCAGAACTTTAAATTCATTTTAATATGTAGCAATGATTCTGTACCGTATTAGACAGGCTAGAGCAGGGCCGATGTAACGTCAAGAACAAGCTGTGACACATACTTATGCTTCAATCTGCAGATGCATCTCCAATATCCACCTAAAGCTTCTCTTACTGAGACACCCAACTTAGGGCTCATGCACACTTGGACATTTAGCATCAGAGCATGAGATTCTGGCATTTTGATGCAGGTAAAAGGCACAGGTACACCGTCCAGCTCCACTTCTGGTAGCCTGTACAACTCTATGATAGGCTAAAGGCTGCTACAGATGTCTGTGCTGGATGGAGTACTAAGTGGTACTAAAGTGTAGGGCAGTTTGTGCCCAGGGACTAAATGAGTAGTACATGCAGCCAACGAATAATGACTGACAGGTGCCTGATCACACATGGAATGCTTGCTATTTACCTCTATGTAAACATGTTTTTCATATGGCCATTTTCAGTTTGTGCCTTGGTCGAGGAATTTCCCCAATTGCAGATACATTCATATAAAGAAGTTAAACATGCAGCGTTTGTGATGTAACTGTTAATTTTACTGTGGTGTAACACCTAGACTTTTGCAAAAAGTAGTTACTACATTTTGGTAAGCCTGATGTACTACTGTATATGTTCACAATTCTTTTATTGTGCACATTCTTCTCTTGAAATAACTAAAAACTCTTTGGCATATAATGTATAAAACTGTTTGCCTGAAAGGAATCTATTCCTTGAAAAACAGGTACTTTCTATTGCAGAGATAGAATAACAATAAACATAATACCATTTGATTAGGGAGTGATTTAGAAAAAACATTTTGCAATCTTTTAACTTTCTTTTTTGCTCCTTAAATATGTAATTCTGCACCAAGTTTGGATACACAGTGGAGTTTTTGTCCTTCATGAACTATTGCCTAATTATTAACAAGGGCTGGATTGATCAGAAAAAAATATTTCAAAAGGATTCTTCTTACTTAACACTTTATTATCCCTATTTAACACTAATTAACCAGTTGCCGACCGCAGATAGCCGAATGACGGCTACACTGTGCCCTCGGGCAGTTATGAGAGGGCGTCATATGACATCCTCCCAGAATGCACTCTGCTGCGTGCCCCCCGGGGCGCGCACCCAGCGATCTCCATAATCGCTGTGTCCTATGGACACAGCTGATCACGTGATGTGGTAAAAGGCCAATCATAGCGGCTTTTTACCACGTGATCAGCCGTGTCCAATGACATGCTGATCACAGGGAAATGCAATTGCCGGTTCTCGGCTGCACTTTCCTCACGCTGTCAGAACATGGGAAAAGTACTGACGAGAACCAGCAGTTGTCAGAGCAGGGATCGGCACCGATCATCAGGGCACTGATGATCAGTGCCCTGATGATCGGTGCCCAGCAGTGCCACCCACCAGTTCCACCCACCTGTGCCCAGTAGTGCCGCCCACCAGTGCCCAGTGGTGCCACCCACCGGTGCCCAGTGGTGCCACCCACCTGTGCCCATCAGTGCCACCCACCTGTGTCACCCAACTCTGCCCATCAGTGCCACCAACCTCCGCCTATCAGTGCCACCCGCCTGTGCCCATCAGTGCCCATCAGTGCAGCCCAGCAGTGATGCCAGTCAGTGCCCAGCAGTTGCGCCAGTCAGTGCCCAGCAGTTGCGCCAGTCAGTGCCCAGCAGTGCCGCCAGTCAGTGTCGCCTATCATATGGGTACAATGTTGCATGACCATGTCATTCAAAGTACCTGAAAGCGCAATTGTAGGCAAGTGGTTAAACCTACTTAAATTAACCCCCCCCCAATCCCATTTCATTGATAATTTTTTTGGGCAATTTTTTACAGTTCTTTTGAAAACCTCTTTTCACGCTTGTGTTAGTTTCACTATTTGTCATGTTATGTTAAAAAAAAAAAACCTATACAAGATTTTTTAACAATTTTTTGTACAGGGAACAACATTAAGTCACTGTTCACATTGCTGCGATTCAAAATTGCACAATCTGTGTGCAGTTTCAGTGCGATTTTGGATGCGATTTCTGAAGATTTTATTGCTACTTGTGAAGATTTTCAATGATTTCTTGCAATTTGCAGAGTGATTTCCATTATATTCTATGAATGTGAAATCGCAACAAAACTGCAGAAAAAGTAATGCTGGATTGGGCTACAAAACTATTGCCAAACAGCTTGGTGAGAAAGTGACAACAGTTGATGCAATCATTCGCAAATGGAAGAAACACAAAACAACTATCATACAGGTAACAAGCTGAGATTAGAAGCAGTCTCTTAAAGGGAGTGCTGCTAATCTCATTTTGTTACCTGTATAAAAGAAAAGACACATGTCCACAGGAGCACTCATACAATCAGATTCCAAACTCTCTACCATGGCAAAGACCAAAGAGCTGTCCAAGAATGTCAGGGAAAAGATTGTAGACCTACACAAGGCTGGACTGGGCTACCAAACTATCGCCAAGCAGCTTGGTGAGAAGGTGACAACAGTTGGTGCAATCATTCACAAATGGAAGAAAAACAAAACAACTGTCATTCTCTCTAGGTCTGGTGGACCATGCAAGATCTCACCTCATGGAGTGTCAATGATCATGAGAACAGGGAGGAATCATCCCAGAACTACACGTGAGGATCTTGTCAATGACCTCCAGGCAGATGGAACCACAGTCACCAAGAAAACAATTGGTAACACACTACACTGACAAGGATTGAAATCCTGCAGTGCCCGCAAGGTCCCTCTCCTCAAGAAAGCACATGTCCAGGCCCGTCTGAAGTTTGCTACTGAATGATGCAGAGGAGGAATGGTTGAAAGTGTTGTGGTCAGATGAGACCAAAATCGAGCTCTTTGGCATCAACTCAACTTGCCGTGTTTGGAGAAGGAGGAATGCTGCCTATGACCCCAAGAACCCCAACTGTCAAACATGGCGGTGGAAACATTTTGCTTTGGGGGTGTTTTTCTGCTAAGGGGACAGGACAACTGCACCGCATCAAAGGGACGATGGACGGCACAATGTACCATCAAATCTTGGGTGAGAACCTTCTCCCCTCAGCCAGGGCATTGAAAATGGGTCATGGGGGTGTGTCCAAGATAGCGACCGGAGTGGCCGCATAATCCATAGCTCTGGTGCCTCATCTACTAATCTGCTGCCATTCCGGGCAGTGACGTACCACCAATGGGCATCAGAGCTCTCGTACCTGCAGGAGGGGAGTGGAGCAATTTTGGCCTCTCTGAGGCAGCTGCTGTGCCCAGCCTGGTGGGGCTGCTGCGGCCTACCGTGATTTCATCCGCGGCCTGCCACGGTCTCATCCGCGGCCATCCGGGTGGCGGTGAGCCCTTGGCGGGCATCGGAGGCCTCCACTGTCCTGTCCACACCTGGAAGAGGGGATCGGAGTGGATCTTTCCCCCGTCGGCCGCGACAGACGAGCTCGACCTAGTGAGCCCTACCACAGCCTGCCACGACACAGCCTGGCCTTCACCTGGAGTCCATCCTTCCTGTGAGTACAGTTGGCGTGGGGGGGCGACCAGCACCCATCAGGCCCCCTATGGGTAGTCCGGTGGCAGTGGCTGGGGTCTGTGGCCTAAGATATTGCCAGCAGGGCCTCAATTGGGCCTGGGGGCTTGCAGTGGCCTGGGAGTCAAGTATTTGGCCTCCCCATACATATTCTGATACATTCTGGATCCTGGTGCCCGGGAAATCCTGTTCCTCGTGGTTCCCTGTACTTCATATGGCCCCATAACAGAGGCCGGTCCAGCGACTGGTTTCCTTGCTCCTACTGCATATAACTACTACAGCTGGTATCCATCCCTCACTTCCTCATGTTAAATCTCATTTTTACAATATGGAAATTGTACAATATGGAAATTGAAGCTTGACTGCATCTATGTAACTACTTTTTTTTTGCACCGGTTCCGGGCGTTATAGATCCCCTGGGGTCAATACTACCCTTGGTTATACATAATTCAATTGATCACCCCCAGGAGATTTCCTGCATGCCGTCCACCAAAAAGAAAAGTAGGGGTAATGCTCAAAAATCCCTTACAACATGTTTAATGAAAACACACGAGATTTGCAACATGTCTCAGGATATCACGGAAAGAGCGTCTCCATCCGGTTCCACACAGGATACCGCAGCCCATCCTTCAACTCAGGACAGTGAGTACACACAGCAACTTACAAAAGGGGATTTGGAATCTTGCCTGGAAACTATGTACACCAAGTTAGCCTCTAAATTCCAATCAGAACTCCATAAAAGAACAAACGTTCTCTCTCAGGAAACAGCCACGTTAGGCTCCAGAACTGACCGTTTAGAAACCAAACACGATGAGCTCAGCTTAGCTTATGGCGAGCTCTCCAGAGATCATAATCATTTACAGACTGCCTTTACACAGTTGCAGGCACAAGTTGAAGATCTTGACAACCGCAACCGCAGGAATAACCTGCAAGTTCGGGGAGTCCCAGAGACTGTAACTGACCTTTTACAAGCTACAACCAAGCTATTCAGATCCCTCCTTCCGGACCATGATACTGGATCCTTTGCTTGTGATTGCATCCATAGAGCTCTGCGTCCACAACCTCCTACTGATAAACCGCCTCACGATACATTGTCCTATGTATGAAAGATTTCCTGACCAAAGAAGATATTGTCAGGAATGGACTTGCCAATAATGGTGGGACTCACCTGCCTTGTGGGCTGCAGTACCAGGGCTGGCCAGTGGGTGCTCTCAGCAATCAGAGACTCAACCCTGCAGTCAGCCAAAACACCTGAGGCTGATTGCAGGTGTATTTAAGGGATGGCCAGACCTGCAGTCTGTGCCTTGGTGTGTGTTTTTCTATGGACCCCTGTACCTTGTTACCTGCATTCCTGTTCCTGTTCCTGCCTGACTGACTCGCTGCCGACCCTGCCTGATCCGGACCTCTGCTGACTTCTCCTGTTTGATCCCTGGCTTGTGACCCCGACCATTCTCTGCCTGACCCCCTGTACCTACCTGCCTGTTAGTTGCTGTACCCGGCTCATGACCTGACTACTCTCTGCCTGCTCCTCCTGTTCCTACCTGCCTGATTGTTATTGACCCGGCCTGCCTGATTACGCTTGCATTGTATGTATTGTTATCTGTGGGTGGTTTGGTTTGGTTCGTTTGCACTGTGTTATGTTTTAGTATTGCACTGCGTTTATGTGTTGTTAGTATTAATAAATTATATCATTTATAACATATCTGAAGCCTGCGTTTCCCTGCGTCAGTTCACATACCTCTGGTCATACCCGGAGCCCTGACAGATATACTTATGGCTGCCCGCACAACTTCAACAATCACTTTTGAAGGCTCAACTTTGCAAATATTCCCAGATGTCTCTCCGGCTACGTTGGAGAAATGCAGAAAAATGAAGGAAATCACATACTTCCTTTTTTTGGCTCTTGTCCATTACAAATGGGGCTTCCCCTTTAAGCTGATAGTCCCACACAATGGTAGCACATATATAGCTACATCTCTCTCTGAAGGATGTGAAATTCTGGCTAAATTAGGCCTGGCGGATGCTCATTCACCTCGATGCCCTCCTTCCACTCCCCGAGTATCTCCAATCTGGCACACCCCATCCCTATAAAGGGCAAGGAGGAGAGTCAGGTAAGACCCAGGATGAAAGGATTTTGCTTAGTTCCATGTCGTTCACTCTTTGGATGGATTTTTGGTCAAGACTGTAAGTTCTTTATACTTATATATGTGTATTATACTTGATCTCCTTAGTCTATATGGACGAGCAAAAATTCAGCAAAGGTCATCAGGCCTATACATAGCGCCCGTATGCTGGTACTGTAGGACTCTTGGACACTTTACCGCCTCCTGCCGCCTAGCATGGCCGGAAAAAGTCAACACCCTGTTGCGTGTTGGCCGATCCACCTCCCGCGTTTTACGGTGGCAGAGTTTGGGCCCGATTGGCCCTTTGATGTTCTTTTTGTGTTTTAAGGAAGGGCGGATGACCTACCTGATCCATGGTTAATTGTTCTATCTTTAGTTGTTGGGGCTCTTACAGCTCCATTCCTGTTGCTTTATGTTTTTATTTCTGTGATAATTTTGGTACATGAAGTTGCTTATACACCGGTTTGTGGACGTCCTGGTCGCTATATTATGATTTGGATGCTCCATAAATTGATACAGGCTGAGTTTGCCTTAATTGATGTGGTTCCAGATGTTCCACTAATTAGACAAATTACCTTGGATACTTTTCGGATGATTACTTTACTGCTGATCAATGTGACTCTTATTTGCCATGGTAATCCAATGTATCTCACATAATGTCCAGGGTTTCAACTCACCTAACAAGTGTAAAACTGCCTTCCTTCAGTACAAATGCCTAGGGGCAAAAATTATTTTACTACAGGAAATCATTTTGCAGCCGCTAAACACCCAACATACTTTCATAGATCTTACAGACAGGGGTTCTACACCTTACACTCCTCTAAGAGTAGAGGCGTAGCTATTTTTTTTACATAACTCATTTCCCTTCGATATTCAACATGTTTATCGCGACCCTGAGAGCAGATTTATCATTATTAAAGGTACACTTTCAGGACGTGAACTCACGATTGCCAATGTCTATGCACCAAATTCGGGGGAAGCATCCTTTTTTCTCCCACTTTTTCAAAATTCTCGACGGGTTTCTATCCCCTCATTTATCGGTGGGAGGTGATTTTAATTTG